GAAAGCTTAGTGGCAAAATGGGGAGGAGGAGAGACGATTTTGAACATTTTTTTTAAGCTCAGAGGTAAGGGGTGTGGAGTTCATACAGCCTTCTGAGATTTCAGGAGGGAAACAATGCAGCCTCCCAAAACCTGGTAAGTCCCACTTTAAGGCATTGTGTTTAAATAATGACAAATTGGACTAGAAATCCCAGATCCCACTAGAGTGTTGTAGTCCACCTCTTTTAATGCCCTTTAAATAATGGACATTGTGCTTAAAATAAACAAGTCATTTTAAATTAATTTTTGGGGAAACCGTATTATGGAGCAACTGTGTAAATACTGTGATTTTATGACTGAATGAAGACAATTTAAATCAGCAAGAAAATAACTTTAGGTAAATAATTTATTACTATTGCATTTCAAGTACTTACTTCCTTGACCAAGGTCCACATCAGCAGTTTGACATAACTATTTAACAGGGATGAGATAGTCTATGTTTCTTTTTGTGTGTTCGTGAAATTGATTTTAGCAAGCTTGTTCCATCCTAGTTCATGAATTTCTTTTCACACACTCACACAGCAATAAAGTTCATATTTATTTTTTGCACATTTTTAATTGTATGAATTTTTAACACATATACCCACTGACTACAGTGTGCCTGTGCACATTCTGAATTGTATATTTGTGCCTTTTAGAAAAGTGCATTTTTTTTATAGTACACAATGCAAACCCAGGAATGTTTGAATTTCTGGCTGCAAATTGTGTTCAGATCTACATTCAGTTCTATGAGGCGCAGAAGAGGCAAATTTGCTACTAAAAACCACCTCAGTATGAATTCCTCATATATCCCTACTTAAAACTTTTCCTTCATACAATTTCTTTAATAAATATACAAAAATGGCACCATGTGACTCTCCAAATTCCAGCCACACTACTATATTAAGCTGGTTTCTGTAATGCTAGTAGAGCTTTCCACACCACCAGGGTTAAACAGAATCTTAGCCTGTGTTCTAAGAAGAGAGAATTATCTGTCATGTAGTTCAGAAGAAGAAACTACCTAAAGTTTTTCTAAAGAAGAGTCATATAATTTTCCTTCCCTCAGGTTGTACAGTAAGTCTTCTTTCTGCCATTCTAGGCAAAATCTGTGAGAATATTCAACCAATCTGACATCAGCAAGATGTCACAGAAAAGCTGTGGGCAAAACTGACAGAACCTCTATTCTCTCATTTCTTTGCAATAATTATTTTCTGCCTCAAGCCAATCAGGCAGCTCTGAAGGGACAAGTTTGTGACATCAACATGACTAAGCCAATCCTGAATTAATTTCAAAGAGTAACAAACATTAATTCTAATATTGGAATGCCTGAACAGTTATTCATTTCATTGTATTCACTTTAGCAATGCATTTGTTTTGATCTATAGTGATCATTTCTATATTTAAAGAATGCCCAAAGCAATGTATTAATTTTTAAAAAGTCAAGCAGATGTTCTGTTAAAAACAGTTAACATATAATCCAATTAAAAACAAGCTCAAGCTCTCTATGCTTGCCAAGAATAAGAGCACAATGAAGACTGACAGTAACTTCAAAGTCCATTTACCTTTAAAATGTTCCAAGCCTAAAACATTGCAAGGTATAGTGTCAAATGTTGTTGAATTATTCAGCGGCAAAGCCTAAATCCTGTTATAAGAAAGTTCAGTGTCAGTATTGTGCATTGCAATTTTAGTTTCCAGGGTGTTAACCCTTTTAAAGGTAAACTAAAATATGCAGGTATGAAAGTTAAACTTGTTAGAGTTCACTTTCATCAGCAGAGCAGAAAAAATGTGGGTCAGACTATTACTTTAAATCTGTCTTCCTAAAGAAAAAGACTAACTCAAAAAGACAAACAAGTAGTTTGTGGTTTAAAACAAACAATAATGGCTTTAATAAATATTTACATAGAAGAACTAAAACCTAATCTAACTGGAGTTTATAAAGCAGGAAGAGAGATGCTGACCTCCCTCAGAGGAGGACTGTTACAGACAGCTGGCGGAGGCTACTTACTGCTTACTGGGCAGTTTGGAATGTTCAGAGAGTCAGTTAAACTGCCTGTTATGATTGACAATTAAAATGAGAGAGGGGGAGGGGTGAAGTCCTGCCTAACTAAAGAAGAGAATGCAAAACATAACATTTTCCAACAACCCCCTTCTCATTCTCCTGGACCGACATCAAGGATCTTCATTCCTTCATGTAGCCTCTGGAATTGATGTTTTGGCAGAGGTGTAGTGAGGATATCTGCAATCATCACCTCGGTGTTGTAGTATTCCAGCTGGCACATTTCTTGTACTTTATGAAATGCAATGTCAATGTCCTTCTTGAGTGGCTTTTCACTCTGTGAAATCTCGATGCAGCTTTGATTTTCTTGCATCAAAGTGGGTGTGGGTTCTGTTATCCCAAAGTTCAGGAGCAAGTTGTGCAGCCATTTGATTTCATCACATGCTGCTTTTGCTGAAACACACTCAGCTCCAATAGAAGAATCAGTAATTGTAGATTGCTTCTTATTTGTCCAACTGATAGTTCCTCCACCATAGAAAATCGAGTTTCCAGTGGTTGACTTTCTGTCTGCCAGATCTGCAGCCAGTCTGCATTCGCATAAGCGATCAGCTGTGGTTGTTGACAGGATGACAGCATTCGTTTGTAATCTGCTGTTCCTTTTAAATATCTGGCAACTCTCTTAACTGCAATGAAATCTTTTTTCTGTAGCAGAGTTGACCTTTCTGCATAAGATGCCAACAGCATTTCTTATGTCAGGTCTGATTAGGTTGGCAATGTATAGGGGTTTTTCCAATTGCAGTCCTATACTTGTCTCCATTTTGTAAAGATTTGGATTTCTTAATGTCCTTTAAGAATCCTATTTCCATTGGAGCTGGCACAGAATTTTTATCTTTCAGACCAAGACAGTCCAAAAGATCCAGTATTTTCTGTTTTTGATTCAGTAAGAAACCTCCATCCCTGCTTCTTTGGATTTGCACTCCAAGATAGTGTGAGATGTCTCCCAAATTCTTAATAT